TCCTGAAAAGCCCCGCCTGCGGCTAGTTGGTGCGTTGCAGAGCAAGGACCCAGTGCTGAGGGAAGTCACCCCGTGTTGAGGTTGATCTCTAGTCCAGTATTTTAATTGTGGTCGCTTAAAGCAGCTGTCTCGGCTAGGGCAGAGCAAAACCTTTGCCGGCGATAGCTGATTTCCTGTGCACAGCTGAGAAACACTTCAGAGAGGGTACTAGGTGTGATTGTTTTGTCATAAAAATGTATTGTCTGGTATCAGCAAAAAACTTGTAAAAATATTCCTTCTCTGCCCATATTATGTCTGCAAAAGTGGAATTTCTCCTTTCCCTCCTGTCTTGGAAGAATTTGGTGCTGGGTGTGTTCTGAAGCTTAAGGAGCCTTTCAGGGCTTGGGAGATAGTTGGGAATCTCTCTGTTAAAGTGTGTAAGCAGACAGGAGTTCCTTGTGGACATTTGCTTTGAGATTGTTTGGGGGGAAAAAAAAGATTTTCTGGCAACTTGTCAGACAATTCTCTTAATACCAGTTTCTATAAATACTGCCTTTGAAGTGAAAGGTGCAAGCACTATGTTAATGATTCCTTTAACTAACTTGTTACATTGTCATTAAGATATAAAAGGCTGTGCACTCGATTGCCAGGTGCCAATCCATGTGTTAGCGAAATAGAAAGTTGTTGAAGAGCTTCAATGATGCACTAAATACTGGATTTGGTTTCAAGGCATGTTTTGCCCAAAGGATAAAAATAACACTTCTTGTGTTCTCATGAAGCTTATGGATGTTAATAATTCTCTAATTTCAGCCCGTGCAAATGGAGAACCCCTATAAAGAGCCTCCTAAAAGATGTGTCTTATGTGGAATAAATGTGGACTACAAGAATGTGCAGGTGAGTTTGAAAGTTCCTGTCCTTAAATGAAGGTAACTGGCTCACTATTTTTAAATGTGTGTGTGGGAAGTCCACAAGGATAAAAAAATGAAAACTTCATTCACTTGTGTAGGGGTTTAAGATGTAAGAATAAGAATGTCCAGATAAGGGTCAAATAATGTATTTGTGATAAGCTGTTTGCTCTTCTAGTCCTATGTGCAGGTGTTACAACTTTGTTATTTACCAAACAGTCCTTAATTCTAATTCCACTGTCATATAGGCTAAATGTTATGGTATGTAAAATATAGTCTAGCTCAGGGCTATGCTTTTCCTTGTCTCCAAGTAAAACTGAGTTTTGTAAAAATAGATTAAAAAAAAAAAAGAAAAATAGAAAGCTAATAATAAAATAAACTAAAGCTCTCTAAAAAAGTTCTTAAACTGACTTTGGATTTTTTAATTTTAAGTAGCTTCTTTCCCAGTTTGTTTCTCCGTATACTGGCTGCATTTATGGGAGGCATATAACAGGTATGTGAAATATTAATTTACTGGTTAATATTAATGTTACCGTGAGTCTTAAGTAGCTGTATATAAGCTGTCTTTCCAAAAGTAACTACTACCAATTCTGCACATTTTGTAATAGTATTCCTCTGATTTACTAGCCTTCACCGAGGAATTAAAATCTCTCTTAATTATGTGTTTTGTATTTCACGGTATAAGCACACATGCATATTTTCTAGGAAGACAGACAAAACTAGATGAAATTGCCAGAAATATCCATTTCACCCTTTAAACTAAGGGTTTGGTTATTGCTGATTTAAGAGACTGAAAATGATTGATCTCTTTAGGCTTGTGCAACAAGAAGCAGAAGGAAGTTACAAAAGCCATCAAAAGAGCTCATGTATTTGGTAAGTATGATGATGCTTTTGAGTTTTTTAAGTCAAGCCTACTTTTCTATTAAGAAAACCTCCATCTTATCTCTTTGCAGGATTTATGCCAGTTATGTTTAAGAACCCAGCATTTCTCACAGACCCCAAGATATGTAATGTCAAGTATCCAGAGTAAAGAAATAAACAATAAAGCTACTTTTCATGTTTATATACTTGTTTACTGGAAATGTGTTTGTCTAGCATAATCCATCGCTGACTGAAGGGTGGATGTCAGCTGCTTTTTAATGAGAAGTCAAGTCTTTAAAATGTATTCTCTGAAGGAAGTATGAAAGATAAAAGCAGGAACAGAAATTGGCCGCTGAATGGACCACTTCTGCTCACAGGTCTTGCTAAAGTTCAGGTGGCTTTTTGTTCCCTTGCTGGATTATAGAATCATGGAATGTTGTGAGTTGGAAGGGACCCACAAGGATCATGGAGTCCAACTCTTGCCCCAGCACAGGACAATCCCAAGATTCAGACCATGTGTCTGAGGGCACGTGTTGTCCAAATGCTTCTTGAATATTGTCAGGCTTGGTGCCATGACCGCCTCCCTGGGGAGCTGGTGGGGGGAAATAAACAAGTACTGGATACCTAAGGATTAATTAACATATTTAAACTGCAGCAGTTCATGTAGACAGCTAATTCTGTTATGCATGTTACCTGTGTTTGTCTGATGCTCCTGCCTCAGCTTCTGAGGGAAGGGTAGCACTGCTTCTTCAACAGCAGCTTGAAGCTGTGTTACTCTGAGGCAGCATGTGACACGGTTATATGACCGCTCATGTACTGCTGGCATAGTCTCTAAACCCTGAGAGAGAGAATACAGGTACAACTGTGGAAGGCAAAATGTGGGAATGTCATCTGGACCTATGCCAAAGAGCATTCATGCACTGGGGGGGGGGGGGGGGAATCCCTGTATGTTTTGCAAAAATGCATGATGTTATTTTTGTCCCTGCAGTGCTATAAAGTTGTATGTCACTTGAATATGCTGGCAGTAGCTTTTGGTGTGAAGATACTGAGACAGATCATTAACAGATCAGAAAGTAGGAGATTGTGGGTATTCATTTGTGTCTCTAATTTTTTCAATCACATCTTCATCAGTTTCAGTGCTACTCAGTGCAAGTTTCCTTTCCTGGTCACTGTCCTCTTGGTCTTGAAGCAATTTTTGGTGAAGCTGCAGTGATCTGGATTTCTTGAATGACTTTGGTCCCATTGTGGTCCCTCTGACTTTCCGCTTGGTTAGCTGTCTTGTTTCAGCTTCAGGGAAGTCTCTTTCCTCTACCATGAGAGTCAGTTTGTCCATGACATTAATATTATGATCAATGTTACAGCAGTTCGTGGATATCTGTCTGCCTTTGAAGGAAACAATACATGTCTGAAGTCCAGAATTGGGGAAGAATGTTTGCAGTGCCTGACAAAGGAGAACATTCTCCTGTGGCTCTCCTGAGTAGTCTCTCTCTTCCCCTGGGGGCAAAAACAAACAAACAAAAAATATGCTACAGTTGCTGCCCCACTTGTACCACTCCTGTTTTGCCTGCCTCAAGTTCAGAAGCGTTTTGTGCTTTTGTCAACTGAATCAACTTTGGAAGTCTTACTAAGACTGGCATTAGATTTGTTTAACTTACCTGAACAGCTTTGTTGCTTTTTCCTCTTTATTTCTTCTTTTAATTGGCTAACCTCTGCTAAGAGTTTCTCTACAGATCGTTCACTGACTTCTACTGTAGAGCATATTTTCTGCAAGGAAAAGAGCATTTGATGGAATTAACAGTATTCAGAGAAGCTGACTTGAACCTTGTTGCAAAATCTTTACCGGTACTCATGATTTTAAGTTGGACACAAAGTAGTAAAAATAAAAAGCTAAAGTAATGGGCTTGAGGTGAATTTCAGAGATAAGTTAAACCTTGTTTTGCATGAAGTGCAAGACATTTTATTTCTTCCCATCTAAGCAAAGGAAGTCTAACAAACTACAGATAGTACTTCTTCAAAATGAACCTCTTGTGAGAATTTTAGTGGACTTGAGGCTTTATCAGCCTCAAAATTATTTTTGATCAAATGGAAGCTTGAGTCTTCAACTTTGACAGCTTACTGTACAGCTACTAATAGTAAATGGAACTCCCTGATGTTTCAGTATGCCCTTCCAGGACACAGCTTTGTTTCTCACTTAGTGCAAGACGGTGCCCTTTGCTTGGTTTTGTAGTCCTGCCGAAAGTAAGTGTATTGGCAGGTATGGCTGACTTACCTTCAGTTCCTCCTGCAAGGTGGCATACATCTCATTTATCTTATGAACCTCTTGTAAGGATCCATCTTCATGAAAGAATTCTGACCTGTGGAACAAGAATATAATAGTATAATTGCAAGTTAATGATCCCAATGCTTACTTAGTAGGAGCTGTAATGAATAAAGAAGCATTTTGAGTTTCAACAGTAGGTGCCTATGTTGAGACAGACAGCTGCTCTCATAGCAAACTATGGGACTGAACTAATTTCCAAGTACCTTGAATAGGTAAATAATTGTGGGAAGCGGTCAACAAGTGAGCAGGGTATGGCTGAAGCATTTGGAAAAGCACTTAAATACTCTTACAGGTAAAATATAATTATCTCAACTGAAAGCTACAGCTATCAGTGAATAAGGCATACATTGTACCTGTGTTGTCTTACTGCTCTCACAAAACCAGAAGATATGCAGGAACCAGACACTGTTCTGTAACCTTGCTGTTCTGCCATACCCAAATTGGTAACCACCAAAGGAACTTTCTGGAAAAGACTTGAAAAGCAGAAGTATGAAAACATGATTTATTAACATCCAAAGGCCTGTCTTTGATAGTTAAAGGTTCTTAATCGTTAAGCAACCCTATACTGCAAACCAGAGGGAGTTTATAGTGTGGTTAGTTCTTGCTAAATGTATTACATCACACAAATGACTACTTACGGTGAAAGGCAAACTGCAAGAGCAACAAGACTCTGAGCATTGCCTCTAGTTTGTTTTTTTTTTTCCTCTGAGCACCAGTGACAGAACACAATACTGGCTGGTTAAGCCTAGCCTATGGGCAGCGTGTCTCTGAAGATAACAAAGTTGCCACCAAGTTAAATATTTCAATGATGTGTGAAGATGAACACCATGCATGGTTGAAGTCCTGTACACAAACAAATGGCTCAAGGACAGCTTATGTGCATAAATGGACTGACATAAGGTGTCTGCTTGTTGACGCTGGCACTACAGACAGTTACAACAGCAAATCCCTGAAGGGGACAACTCCAGCGTGACATTTCAACTGGGCTGTAGCAATATAAGGAACAATTTTATTTAATGTATGTAAGTTTCAAGGGTAAAATAAACAGTGTTAATAATTCAGTTGCAACAAAGAAAAAACCCTATTCTGAGTTACAGCACATGCTGTGCTACTGCTTTATTAAAACTAGAGAACAAACTAATTACCCTTCTTGTGGCCGATGTAAGGCATGTTCCAGTCTGTAAGTAGAACAGCTGTCTGTCATCACGCTGGAGGTTAGTAAGAGGAATACAAGGCCCTGATTTGATAGGTGTGACTGCAGATTCTTATGAAGAAGTCTTTCCCGGAACGTCATGGTCTGCTCCGTGTTACGTCTGAATTTGTACCATCCTATTACACTCTGCAGGCAAAAGAAAATCCATTATTACTGTTGAATCACGCTGTTTGTGTGTCATGCTGAAGCAAGTTAGAGGATTCAGTACAAAGTCATGAATCTGAATTGTTTGGTCATGTGTACATTCAAGGAGTTTGTTAACTTGAAGCCCTTAAAACATCTAAGCCTAATTCCAGTAGGACAACTCTTCTCTTTCCTTCAAAACCATGTGTTGGACTGGCCTGTTTTCTGAGCTCATGCTCAAGCTGAAACTCTGCAGACTTGGTTCTGCTGTTTTACTGTTTGCCTCTTTCCAGCTTCTACTTTCCCCCTGTGAAACTTTCTTCTGTGGAGAAGACTACAAATTTTTTTGGTCAAGTGTTGCTTAATGATTTGAGTGAGCTAACCCCAACTGAGCTTAAGCTAGAAATCAGTAGAATTCCTTTGGGATATCTGAACTGTTCACTTGAGAAATGAGTAAGAAAAAATGGAGATACATGTAGGCAAACCTTAGTAAAAAATAACCTAAACTGTTTTTTCAAGGGAAAAGATCATGCAGCTGCCTTGACCAGCAGTGGGAGGGACTAGATAAAAGATGTTTTTTTTTAAAAAAAGATAAAAAATGCTTGATACAAGAGGTATCCAGAACAGTCCCCAAAATCTGAGCAAGCACCTTTGGTATGGCTTAGGTTTGAAAATAAAATACCTTCTTACAGCCTGACAGTATTTTCTTCAGGGCAGGTTCATTCAGTTCTCCTGCAGAATTATAAAAGCTAGAAGAAAATTAGGACAATTAGAGGAAAAAAAAAATGCTACTGTAGAAATAATTATTCCCTAGCAGTCCGGCAATCATCTCACTTTAATAGCTTTTTTTTTCCCCCCCTAGTAAGCATAAATACCTGCTGACACAGCTCCTCTGCTAGGACAGTGCAGTTAATTTCATTACTCAAATAGCTACGTAGGCGGTCCTGTACAGCTCAGATGCTGTTCTGGCATCAGTGCCATTGGGACACAATTTAATGGTAGCATGTATGTTCTCTCAACTACAAAACAGTCAGGTGCCTTCAATTTTATACAAAATGCCTTTCTAATAACATCTGGGTTTATCAGTTTTCAGAAAGCTTGGAGAAATAAACCGTGTTGTGATTCTCCCCTTGCAGGGGTGCAAACCTGTACAGCTGGGTGCCCATCTATGATGGAATCTAAATATTAGTCCTTGAGACTACTCCTGCCATGGGGCTGACAAGTGTTTCTTTTTCTGACCGACTTAGAAGCCTATGGCTGATGCTACCTTTTCATTTCCTTTTTTTTGAGGGTGAGGGGTTGGGATGCACGCTTTTAGAAAAGCAATGTGCTTTTTTCAGTATGTTGACATTATTCTGTAGTTTCTATGGTATTGTAGCTCACTGGAAGGTGCAGTATGTCATATCTCTATTTCTGTATGCAGGAAAGGGCATGAAAAACCAAAGTAGGAATAACAAAGCATTATGCATCTGTAATTCCAAGGGTTTAATATGGCGACTGTAGTTAGAGCCGGATGATTTTCTCAGTAACGTAATACAAATTTAACTCTTGGAAGAGTTCGAGTTAGGGTTACTTTTAACTTTTTCATATCTGTTTACTTAAGATTCTTACCTGAACAACTGGTAGCACGGAATATGCTTCTGTATATCTGGAAAGAGAAGGTAGTATTACTCTGGGCTCATCAGTTCAAGATGTATATTCTTCTGTATGCTACGATCAGAATCAAACTGGTAGAAGAACCAAGAAAGAATTCTATATAACATAATTTCTCAAAATCAAATGCATTAACATCTCATTAAATAAAGTTAAGAAAGGAAATATTTTTTTTTAATATTCTAAGTTTTCAAATGTAAAGGGAACAACTTGTATAAACTGTATTTTTTAATACAATTTTCTGTCAATTTTTTAATACATTTTTGTCAAGTGAAAAATTCAATCAGGCACTTTATTTTTCCCTCCTTTCTGTCGAGTACAGGAGTAGTATGTAATATGAAAGATTTCACTTGAGTTGCTCTGCAGCAAGGCATGGATGCTGTTAGAAAGATGAGGCTGGAGAACAGAAGCCCACAGGGTAAGTGATGAGAACTGGAAGATAGACTACCAGCAAAAAAACCCCAAACAAACAGTAGGTGATCTAATGGCATTCTAAATCCTTTTCCTTAACTACATTCTCCACTACTTTCATTTTCACAAGGTAACTAAAAACACCCTCAAACTTTGGAGCAACCAACTCTGCCTTTGAGAATGTGATGATGAGACTCTGGGTAACTTTATCAATGTCACCACAAAAAACTCCCCACATCTTTGGTTCAGCTGTGAAACTTAGTGGAGGAAAGTGCTACATCTTAATTATATCCTAGAGTAAAACTAGAAAATGGGATGCAATTTCTCCCCATGGTATTTTAACTAAGACTGGAGAGAAGACACCTACTGTACTACCTTGTTCTCTTTCTTTTGTATAACTGCATTTTAAAGGAATGGGGTTAAATGTGTGTGCATGTACACGTATACATGTTTTTGTTAAGGGCTAGTTCAAAATGCACATCTGCTCCAAGCCCATGAAGACTATGAAGAAAAATGTATCTGGGATCTGCTCAATGAAATACATAAATACTTTGCGGCCTTCACATACAGTATTTTATAAGCTCCAACTTAGGTAATAGATGCTCACACGTTACAGTTCACATCACTGAAACAGGCCGAGTTTTTCCAAAGCAACAGTAGTCTTGAAGTGTTTGTGACATGGCCAAGACAAAGGAGGAGTCTAAATTACCTTTGGTATGACAAGATATTTGGCAAAGTGGAGCTATTCAAGGAAATAGAACCTCTGTAAAATTGTTTTCTACAGTAAAATAGTATTTTTACATTTTTTTTTAGCAAGTAAAATGTTATAAAATAACCCATGTGCTTTTTTTTTTTTAATGTCAATGTGGACTCCAGGACCTATCTGCTTTCATAGAATGCTGTAGGTTGGAAGGAACCTTAAAGATCATCCAGTTCCAATCCCCCTGCCATCAGCAGGGACCCCTTCCACTAGACCAGGTTGCTCAAAGCCTCATCCTACCTGGCCTTGAACACTTCCAGGGAGGGGGCAGCCACAGCTTCCTTGGGCAACCTGGGCCAGTGTCTGACCACCCTCACAGTGAAGAATTTCTTCCTAATATCTAATCTAAACCTGCCCTCTTTCAGCTTAAAGCCATTACCCCTTGTTGTATCACTACCTGCCCTTGTAAAAAGTCCCTCCCCAGCCTTTCTGTACCCCTTCAGGTATTGGAAGGTGGCTATAAGGTCTCCCTTATATCTTGCTGTAAGGTGTTGACTGCCTTTATTCAAAACTGTAAGCAGTTGTATATTGCCTGAAACCAAGTGCAGGATTAAAAATGTGGACAGACTAACCAATTGTATAAACAACTTCAACATCATCCATTTGTGAGTCAGTAATGCTATTCTTGGCTTCACCTTTCACATCTCCAAGAAGAAAACCTTCCTTTATAGGGGGAGAGAAAGAAAAAAAAAAATCGAATTAACAGTAGCATTGAAGAGGACTTTCTGTGTAATATTAACAGTGTAAATGCTGTCTTCAGGAGAGGAAGAAAGCTGGCAGAATG